TATCCGCTAACTCTTGATTGGAGAATAAAAATGGCATTTTTATAAAACTTACAAACAAAAAAACAGGTAAAAGAAACTAAATTTCGTGCATTCACAATTGCAAAAAACGTTTCAGGTTTCAACAGACAACAAAACTAACTGTCAAATAATTGACGTTTAACCTTATTCTGCTTTCAATTTCAAAAATATTTGCAGGCACAGCCTACTTCTAAAAATTATCGAAATACTGACTTTTTAACGTTATTTTATCATAAAAAATTAAAAATACATCGAACCTTAAAAATCGAAATATCTCAAAAACGGCTAACTATAACGAACATTAACAAGAGAGCTTTTTTATGTTGAAAAGTGCGAAGAATCAGTTTTTTATTCCAAAAGCAAAAAATTGCACCAAGAAAAATGTTTCGGTCATTTTAATACACTACAGGTACAGTAGAGAGCGCCCTCTAGCGGCTACAGTAAAACTATGCCCATGGCTCGTTTTGTCGTACCAAAAAACCCTTGTGTACCAATTTTCACTGTTATATATCAAATATTGTTCGAAATATTTAAAAAAAAACTATTTTAGAAAGTAAATTTGAACACCCTGTATTTCGGAAGCCACGCATTTTTCGACCCATGTTTATATAGACTTTATGCATTAATTTTAAAAGTTCTATCAAATTTTAAAGTTATGCAACAATAAACTGAAATACCCTGTATAGTAGATGGGGGACTACTTTGGTAGACTTCATTCGACATTTTAATAGCTAATAATAAAAATCATATGAATGGCCAACTGAAATAAATGCCAAAAATCAGTTTTTCCAATATCTTCATCTTAAGCAATGAAAATAAGGATAGTTTTGTAACAAAGAGGTTACTTCTCAAATTATTAGTGTGCATAAAAAGCAAGTAGTTTGGCGGCAAAACAAACAACAATCACGGGCAAAGCCGCAACAAAGGAACAGGAGCAGAACTAGAAGGATTGGTAGCCTGAGCGACGTACATTCCAGCTTATTGACTACTCATGGGCTTGAAGTACCAAAGCAGGTAGCTATGGCTGGCGTCCGTGGTGACGTTGGTTGATACCTCGTAAACACGAGGTCTTCTGATTGAAGCCTATTGGCTCTTACTTGTGGCTTCTAGTTGTATTTCTATTTCCATCCTTATTTTCTTTCAGGTTACACCCGCATCCAGATGTGATGGGAATATGTACCTCTTTCTATTTCTGCTTCTGTTCCTTTATTGCGGATATGCCTACGTTTGTTCTTTGCTTTTCATCCCTCCATACGGTTTGTAACACGCTTTTATTATAAGCTTGACCCGTCTGTCTGTATGTATGTAACGAAATCTTTGAGCATAATTTTCACCAATTTCCAGAAGTTTGATTAATCTGAAACTTGGCACACGTATCAAGGACCGATGACAATGCAATAATTTAATAACAGTTCTCCATTAACCTTATTACGACCGCCAGGATTGATAAATTCTTTTATAGGTCCTCTGTAGGAGAGTAAGAGAGATACAGCTAGCGCGCGATCTGCGCATGCATGCAGCTTCGGACTTACTCTTTGTTGTTTCGGGCACTGGGCACAGCACAACGGGGGCAAATACTTTTTCAAGGTAGTGCATTCTCACCTTGTCCATTGCGAATTGTCACCAACTTGGCTCTGATTACTCAGTACATTTCTGAAGTACTGGACGGTCAGGGACAAGTTGATGTCATCTACACAGATATTCAGAAGGCGTTTGATCAAGTTGATCATTATGCACTTCTGGAACAGTGGGTATGTCTGATGCAATGCTGTCGCTCATGAATTCATATTTGAGAGATAGAAGGTTATTTGTTGAATATGGTGGTCATAGGTCGAGTTACTATCGGGCCACGTCCGGGGTACCTCAAGGGTCAAATCTAGGTTCATTATTGTTTTTGATATTTATTAATGACGTCTTTTGAACTGAAGTGTTTCCATTTGTTTTTCTCTGATGACCTTAAAATCTGCACGTCAGTCAAGATAGTCGAGGATTGCGTCATGTTGCAAGATGACTTAGCTCTAATTTCGTCATGGTGTTTACGAAACTGTCTCAGTCTGAATGTTTCGAAATGTAAAGTTATGAGTTATACAAGAAAGGTTAACTATTTAATTTATGATAACTATAACATCAATGGTCAGGTTATAGACAGATGCACCTCTTATAGAGACCTTGGAGTCACTTTTGATACCAAGCTAACGTTTACTGAACATATACTCAATATCTCGTCGGCTGCCACTCGACTACTTGGTTTCTGTATCAGAAACTGGAAAGGTTTCTCCAATGTTGATACATTAATGACTTTATTTTTTACTTTTGTCAGGAGCAAGTTGGAGTATGCGACTGTGATCTGGTCTCCTATATACCAAAATTCTGTCGTGATCCTTGAGGCCATTCAACGTAAAGCTTTAAAGTATTTTCACCTTAAATGCACAGGTTCTTATCCAGAAAGAGGTTGTGACCATAGTGCCCTATTAGAGTTTTTCAATTTGGATTCACTGTCAACAAGACGAATCATATTTGCTCTGTCGTTTTTGTATGGCCTCATTCACAATAAAATTGACTGTCAAAATTTACTTGAAAAAATATAATACTCCAAGGCTAGGGAGTCGACAACAAACGGCATTCTATTCTCAAGCTGGCCGTACAAATATGACAAAATCGCCAATTAATCTCATGTGCTGCGTCATGAACAGTGTTACTGAATCGTGTGATATTTACAGTGACAGTTGTGCATCGATTATTAACTGCTATAGATCATTCAATCTTATTTAGAATGTGTGATACTATAGATTTAAGTCCAAGAACCATGTCCCTTTAATTGTTATGTTTTTCAGCATTTCCTGTAATTGGGTTTCACCTGTTGGAAATAAATAAATAAATAAATAAATAAATAAATAAATAAGTAAATAAATAAATAAATAAATAAATAGATAAATAAATAAATAAATAAATAAATAAATAAATAAATAAATAAATAAATAAATAAATAAATAAATAAATAAATAAATAAATAAATAAATAAATAAATAAATAAATAAATAAATAAATAAATCCTGAGTGGGGCTTCGACCGTCCACCATAACCATGGAGCACTTAGTCGTATAAGATCTTTAGACGGTATTCGGATTCAAGAACTTGATTGCTCTAAGTTAAGAGGAAAAACCCCACGCAACAGTGAAGCTTTAAATGAAATGCTTGGATTACGAAATGATTCGTACGACATTTCAACACCACATGTCCACAAAAAACTAACTGATAAATCGAACTAAGAAAGGAAAAATAAATAATAGCTTAAAAAATCTAAAAAACACGCTTTTATAGCTAACAGGAACTAAAAAGTAGAAAACAACTTTTATGACTTCAAATTAAAATTTAAGTTATTAACAGAATAGTTGAATTCAGAGTAAAAAGCGTGAGGTGCATTTTACTACATTTTCATAACTCTCCTCTCATAGATAGTTGCCAGTAGAATAATTGTAACATTTAATATATCAATACATATAATAACTTAAATTTTATTATACTTTTCTTTTGACGTCATTAATTATGATTGATTGTTCGACCATCTACTACTGTAATATAAACTCTTTGTAATTAAAAATTATTTTCTACTTTTTAGTTTGGTCAGCTATAAAAGCGTCTTTTTATAAACTATTATTTATTTATGCTCAGTTCAACATGGCTGGCGATAACGCGGTGAAATATCAAAAATGATTCATAATAATGTATAAACCTTTTCATATATGGTGCATGTATTGCAAAGAAAAATGGACTGCAACGTTGGCACTCTGCTGACTAGGCTGTCGCGTATGTGCTCACTTGATTGTCAAACATCTATTGATGTATTATAATAATAGCTGCAGTGCTGCATTACTAATTGCATATTGCTCTATTTGTTGTCTCAAAAACGTTTATAAATTGATTCAGATGCGGTAGTTAAATAATAAGAAGGAATGTTATCGATCATATGCTTATTATGCGTGGTAAAATTCTTACTAAGAACAAATATAGAAATCGTTTTGAAATGTCACACAATAACACTGATAAAAAGGGCCGTACGGAGGAGTAGAAAACTAGTATTGGTAAATATTCCCTGAACTACTTATTTGCGAAGTAGATAACCTCAAACAAAACTATCCTTGTAATCATTATGATGATGAGATTATAAAAACAGATGATTTCCATTTGAAAGTCCGATAAAGTAGACGCCTTCCTATAGTACTGCAGTCACAAATCGTCTGACAAAGTCAAAAATATGCGAAAAGCTGCATTCGTGATTTTTACATAAAATTTGATATTTCTCTCAAACGCTTAGAGTCCGGTACAGGATGTTATGAACAAAATTTATTTAGAATCTTGCTTAGATTCCAGAATATGAATAATATACAGGATGCAACCAGAAGTACCACCATTTTAAAAATATTTCATCCGAACTCCTTTTACTGTAACTCCAAGCTTTCAAAGCTGTCTAACGTCAATTTTTCGATAACTCCACCACTACGTGAGACATGCATTGCATCTCGCCACATGGTTCTTACATCTCATATAGCAAATTGTTTGCTTACGTCACAAAAATAAATGAGACAGTGGAACAGCGATTGTCTATTCTATATAGGAATTGTTATGGAAACAAATATCTAACCCCTCGATAGATTCCAGTATTTTTTATTTTACGTACTTTGATTTGCAATCCAACTTCACAGCATAACAGTATTTGAAATTATTTTAAGGTACGCCCATGCTAAGCATTACTACTTAACAGTTCATTAGAACTTAGGATGCTACGTAATGATCGGTCAAGGTCACAATGCCGTTAAACTTTAAACACATAACCTCAAGCTGATATGCTGATATTTCTTCCCGATATTAGTCAATCATAAAATCAAAATAAGTATATTTACCTAACAGTGTCATGAAACTACGGATTTCTTACGATTAGATTCCGCTTGTTTTAAATGAAATGTTATATCGTCTAGACTTACCCTCTTTGATGTTAAAAACACTATGAATTTTCACTAACAAAGTAAAAGTGAAAGTAAAACGTGTCAGATGAAACATCGTTAATGAGAATGTCTATTTTTAATTAAGAAAAATTTAACTACACCGAACAAAATTGTCATTGAAACCAGAGCAGGCTTAGGTTCATTTTTGTTTGGCTAGCATTTTGTTATCAGTGGCGGAGTACCGACTCGGTGAATTGTATGCAGAATAGATATCAAGGTAACATATTATTTCTTTCAAATACAATGCTAATAGCAGAAAGCACCGACATGAAACCTCCGTATGGAGTCTCTAAGCGAAATAGTTATTCACCAAACAAGTGCGGAAAGTGGTACTTCGGAGTTCGGACAAGCCATCAAGGGCGAAAAATACACTTTCCACATGTGTTAGGTATAAGATTAATTCTACCAGCGGACTGAAAATACACACTTTCAGTGCAAAGTATGATTATGCTAAGCTTTGCTCCCTAAATAAAGACGATTTATTATTATTATTGTTGTCTCAGTTCTCAATTAAAACTTTTTATATTTTGTCGCACGTGCGCACTTGACGTGCTCGTAAATAATCATGTAATAAAATCAGTTCCAGAAAAATGCCTATTTCTTACAAAAGGACCTAATAGTATTTCGTATCTAGTATTTCAGATACCATTCCAGAAAGTATTTTGTATCTGGCATCTGAAATACTTATTCTCAAAGTGTCTTGTATTTTGTATTCCAAATATTTTGTATGGATGCCTTGCGCATCGCTGCAAGATGCAAATGTTTTACTTTTTTGACCTATGTTTATTTACTCCTGTCAGATTGCCGCGCGATCGGAAGGTGAGCTAGAATATTCTGTAATATTGCAGGTTTCAGTGTTTTAATTTATTAATGTTTTACGGCTTTTAAGATTCCCGACACACTATTTTGTATACTATGATAAAATAATCCGACCAACGAATCGATCATTGACTTTATAAATGAAACTCACATACTCCCAGAATTATGGAAGGTTGAGTCAGTCATAAAACTCAAATGCAAATAAAGAGAAATGGACCATTATCGCATAAAAATTCAATATATCTTTTGAAGAAGCATGTAAAAACTTCACGGACGTACGCAAAAGTGAAATAAAGGAAATCGGCAGCACGTGCAGCAAACCGGCAAAATGTTTTGCTTCTGATGCCATCTCATTTGTCTTCGCACAAGATACTGCAAGAATTGCATTATACAGTGAAAGTGATTTTTTGTAATTCAACATATAAACAATTTAAATACCTACCGATTCTGTGCTTGGTATATACTCTTATTATAGTATTTTTATAATAGATTGGCGATTGCCACCACTTTTTGCTAAATACAGGGTAGCCGAGATGTAACTGACTGGTTAGTATCTTGAATATTTGTGAAATGAAATAAAATACGTATTTTTTTTTTTAATCTTTGATTGAAACTTAGAAATTATGTATGAAAAATAATATCAGTCAAATGTCCGCCTCTAGAAGCCGCGCAAACATGAGTCCTCTTGATTACATTCTCCATCACTTTTTGGTAGGTTTCAGGAGGAATATTTTCAATCGCTTCCGTAATTTTGTTCTTCAGCTGCTCTACAGTATTTGGTCTGTTGGCATAAACAGTATTTTTCAAAAATCTTCATAAAAAAAGTCCATAGCCGTTAAATCCGGTAACCTTGGTGGCCACTTGACATCACCAAATCAAGAAATTAAACGTCCCGGAAATATTGTTCGCAAAAGAGTCATTGTTTCCCTAGCTGTGTGACCAGTTGCTCCATAATGCTGGAACTCCACGAGGATGTAGAGGTCGTTGATGGATGACACAAGGGTTCTCTAATGCCCAGATATGACAATTCTGCTTATTAACAAATCCGTTCATATCGAAGTGGGCTTCGTCGCTCACTATCAGTTGTCGGTAGAAATCGTTATTTAGGGTATCAAGCTACTATATTGCATGACTGTATTGTCGGCGACTGTCATCGTGACTAGGCTGTAGCTCTTGGGTTAACTGAATTTTGCATGGTCGCAAATGCAAGTCTTTTTTTAAAATAGTGCATAATGACGTGCGATGAATACGCAGTTCTTCAGAGCGATGTCTGGTATACGTCTCAGGGCGCTCCAATACACTTTCACGAACTCTCTCGATATTTTCCGGAGTACGAACAGTTCAAACACGACCCTCCATGATGAATCGGACACATGTGCTTTAAACAACTACTACGACACCACCTACTGAAATTCGTGTATCAAAAATGGCCCTCAATTTAAATCAGTCAGTTATATATTTATCCTATCATGCTGCTCGACTCTGTTCTGATATGAAATAATGCTAACTCAGCCCTCGCTGCTTTTGCTGTGCGTTTCGTCCAAGAACCCCTAACCCTTGAGAGTTGTCCATCCCGTTTTGTAGGAAATTCTTACAAGTGTATATGTTTACACGTTGCAGAAAATATTCTGAAGATATAGACACGATACAGCTACGATATATATTGGCAGGGTTATTATGTAAAAACCTATACGATATCCAAAAAAGATCGGTAAAATGTCAACTTGTACACTAGGTAGTTGCTAATGTGCCTCTAGTTCATCCCGCGCCTACAATAAGTGAGCATGAAGTGAATGTCAGGTAGTTCAAAGGGAACCGGAAAGTTTGCATATCAAAAATCAAAATCGATACTACGTCACTACTTAAATTAAATATTTAAGATTGAGTAGCTTAAGACATATAAGGTTTGCTTGTTTGCCTGAGGATGGACAGTAGTGAAAGACGGTGTCTGTATAGATTAACATAACATTATTATCCAAACTGACAGATAAAGCTCTTGAATCTAACAGAAGTTACGTGTCAACTTTATAAAGAGCATAGAGAAAACTAGACTTGTATGACTGCAAAGGCAAGGACATCTTCATGTTTCACGTATTTGGAATCACAAATCTAAGAGCTAAATGCAAAATCCAGTATTAAAGGTATGGAGCCCACTTAAAGGATCAAAGCATGCAGTACTCTAAGCAAACGGGGAGCTACAGAATATGTATTTAGGTTATGATGACATCAGGCACAAAAATCAATGTCTTTTTTATCTATCTAGTAGTCGGATGAACAAGTCTCGTTCGCATGCTGATGAGTGCCAGACTACCGACCGCCCGTTGATCAGAGACGCTGCGTTCCAAGGAATATAAGGAATATCATATTACCTTTCCACAATCGCATTATACACAGAGACTACGTTATTAGAACAGCGGTTTCTCAGGATATTCCAGGGTCTTATCTGCAACCTTGTGCAGCCCAAAGCTTCTATAAACTGCCTTGAACATCTATGAATATAAGCCTCCCATTTGTTCCATATTTCATTTCTTTGCCAAAGGTATGACCCAAGAGTTTCTTTTTTGTCTTTAAACCCAATACCCAGCATCTGATTTTTCATTGTTCTCCGTGTATCAGATTTTCGGTTAATATTTTTTCTTGTGAATGTCCACGCTTGGGAGCCATGTGTAAAAGCTGGTAATATCTTCGGGTTGAAGGTTGCATAGAATCGAAAGGTGTGAAAGGTGGTCATTTTACCATTTGTAAATATTTTGTCAATTTGTTACTTCTTTTTCTCTAAATTTTAAATCAATATTGTACATCGTCAAGTTGAGTTTTTGATTTTATATAATTTTTTGACATGTGATGGAGTTGTTTCTACTTCTTCCTGGAAAGCACAGTAGATACGTCGAAATACCACGAGATAAAACATGTGTTACTCCATCTGGTTGTTTCAAAAACATATAACTTTTTCTTGAAAAGTCAGTGGCGTTCACTGTTTGTCAATATGAATTTTTGGGACTGTCTCTCGAGATTAGATTGAGATACTAATGAGGAACCACTTTGATTTCAAACTTCGATAACCACAAGAGTTTACTTAAATTTGTTTCAGGGGGGCGCCTTTGAAATTATTGCCTATCATTCAGTAACACCTTGTATTGATGGTACTTTTTATTTTTGAGAATAAATTATAGTATTTCAAATGATGCTCACACAGGACTAGTTCTTCTTTTTATCTCCTCTGTTTTGTCACCTGTTCTAATTTATTCTGATTCCTATTTCTAATTTGTCTTCTTGGTTTATCATAGTCTTAGTTTCACCATAGTTCCTTTCTAGACCTACCTCTGTTGCTTTTCTGTCTAGTTCATCGATCAGCATCTGTGACTCTTTCTTTTTGGTGGAACAAATGGAATAAGGATAAACCGAGAACTCTTGAATCATTTAGTGTGAAGCTCCAAGAGAGATGAACTAACTATCGATCAGGATCTGTAGTGATCGTATACAACATGAAAAGTATATGCAAGCATTTATTTGAGAGTACATGGGATGCATGTTGTTTATTCGGAAATCGAGATAAACAAGCCATAACCATACATCAAAAGACTGGGATTTTAGACATTCCAGATAACGGTGCTCCACATAGCGGGAAGTTAATGTAGTTTTATGGTGGCGGAGTTTCGGATAGGGTGGAAGTTTCTCAGATTATCACCGGCCGAAGAGTGCAACAAGAGCCATCGACCTTTCAAATAACTTCCTTTTTGATGGGATTTAGTAGGGAATATCGCGTTAGCAGATATGCTAGTCAGGATAATTGTGATATTCGCATGACAGAGGAAAAGAAATGAACGTTGCAGATTTTTATACAAATGAATACTGTTCCGATGCTTATAAAGTGTCTAGTTAGCCGACTTGCCTGCTGCAGAACATTAAAAAATCAAGGTTTAAATGGGGGATAGGTAAAAATGCATGGCTTCTGGTACCCGACCCAATAGCAATGAATCAAATATCATGTAGAGTATATAGTATTCCGATTTTTTCAATACATTTTTCGAACGAGCATTAGCTATTTTCAGGATGTGTATGACGCCTCTACCGATGTATTTGTAATTATGACGTTAACCAAGTAAACCATCACTCTAATTGCAATAACTCCAGAACGTATGTACTTTGGAAAGGGGAGGTGGGTAAAGGGGTAAAACAAAACTGAACCGAAAAGTACACTCGAAAAATCCGGATTATTAATATCTAGAATATTATCATGTAATATGATTTAACAAAATGCGACATATTTGTTCTGCATTTTTCCAAACAACTGTTCTAATACTTAACTGATATCGGGATTAACATACCTAAAAATCGTTGTTTTTTGCAGCATATTTAGGGTAGCACAAAATGAAAGTTATGGTTTGAGTTTTTCAAAGTGTGCTGTTTATTTATCGAGATTTTTAGGACTTCAAAAATTTTATGGGAAGCGAGATAC